AAACCATCTATATTATTTGTGGAGCTTCTCTGATGATCAAGGTAAGCAAAATAAAGTTTGCCCGGGTGGTGAAAAACAACCATAAAATTGGTTGGCAACAATGAAAAAATCCATTATACAGTTAAAAATTGCATTAATACTGCTGGTAATCGTCTTAATCCATGCATTATTTTTACATAAAAAAAAAACGTCTGTACAAAGATTGGTGTTTAAGTGGTCCAGATGATGCCATATACGCTATATCTCCATCCGGATGGATGGAAGATAAGCAACTTGTGCAGTGGTTCACTAACGTGTATGTTCCTGCCATTAAGAAAATTCCAGGTAATTAGTTCAATTTAATTTTAGTTATCTAATTATATTTATCTAGTTTCACATTTACAAATGGTTAGATCAATCTAATTATAGTTATTTAATTTAAGGTATTCATATTTTAGTCGTAGATGGACATGTGACACATCTAGTCCTACTTATTTACATCAAAACAATATCTTGTTAATTTGCCTACCAGCTCACTCTTCACGTATTCTGCACCCACTAGATGTCAGTGTTTATTGCCATTGCCAAAAGAGTTTGGCACAAATTTCTTCAACAGTTTTATGCAGAGACGAAGTTCAGCAACTTATTAAAAGAGTGTTTTTGTCACCTCCAAAAAAAACTTTTCAGCTCTGGTAAAGTTTTTTCTTAAACCCAAATAGTCATTGGGTTTCAGAATACTGCCTTTTTTCTACTCTATATCAATAAAATCGATCAGTCAAGGTTGCTAATTGCTAATACGTTTGAAACACCGTCATTTGAACCTGAGCCTTCATCATATCAACATCCAGAACCTATGATAAAACCATCAGAAATACTAGCACCAGGAACTACACTATCTCAGCCACTGCCCTTTGAATCAACACTAACATCTAGCATCAGCTTATGTCACAAAGCATCAGCTCCAAAGTCACCTCAAAAGTCACCCTGTATGCAAACAACATTGAATGTTGTAGGAACTTCGGCAATTCAAAAGGAAATGCAAAAAGAGGTTGAAAAACAATTGCAATTAGCCCAATCACTTGCAGTAGCTTTGCAACGAACGTTTCGTATCCTAAACGTAGACACACAAAAAAGAAAAAATGTTGATATGCCAAGATTCGAACGGCAGTGTCTCAACAAACCGGAAATACTTGAAAGGTTTAAAAATGCTTAGAGAAAAAAAGCAGCAAAACAAGCTAATAAGCAACGTAAGCTTAGCTTTAATGACAAACAACAAATAAACTAAGCAACAAGTCTAACAAAAATATCCAATTTAAGTGTAAAAAGTGCCGAAAAGTTTTGGGCGAAGCTTCAGCAGGTCAAAATATGGAACGGTACTAGTGTGAAAATTAAAATTGCAAGAGTTGTCAAACATGCATACCAAAGCGATACGTAAAAAGGATTGAGTTTTGTTGCACCAAAATGTGCCTCACAATTGAAAACTCAACTCAACTTCTAGTAGAGTAGGGCAGGGCTTGTTGGGCAATTTTTACTAACTCTAACAGATTTCTTGCGTTGGGCAATTTTTACTAAATCTAACAGAACGGTACATTAGATTAATGTAATATTTTCAATTAGAAAGATAATTAATAATCGGTTTAATATGATTTTTTCATTAGAAAGATAATTTGATCTGCTAAAAAATGGTTGTGACAAAAAAAAACTTGTTTCGATTTGTTTTAGAAATTATAGTCTAAAGTTTATTAGGCTGCCCAACTTACCCCGCTAGGGTAAGTTAAGCAATTATGTGGGGTAAGTTGAGCATATCTGCATATCTGTGACAACTATTAACTCTGTCATAAAACCAAAACATACCTTCCTTATAAATTAAATATATACTTTCAATTTTAACTAATTATTTAAGATATGAATATAAAAACTAATACTTTTGAGACTAAAATAAAAACAAAACAAAACGTTTTAATTTCAAAACAAAACACAACTACTTTAAGACATTTTAAAACAAAACTTGTTAATTTTATGATAAAACAATAACTAAACGCCTAGATAGTCTTTAGTTTACGTTTTGCAATTAATACAAATATAATTTTGACCAGAATGTGAATCACATTTTGAATGAGACCATTGATTGCAACCTTGACACTGGATCCAATTTTCTTCTAGTAGACTTTCAGGATAAGTTTCCTAACATAAAAGAGATGCATAATCGTGTTCTGCACTTGTCTTTAATTTTTTTGTCATCTTTGTTTTTTTATTTGATAGTTCTTTCTGGAGTATCTGTTAGAATAGCAGCTTTCCTTTTTCTTTGTCTCATGACAACTTTCTTGGTGCTGCTTATGGGTAAAGTTGCACAGTTTCTGGAGAAAATGCTTTAGAAATTTCAGGAACAAGTAACTTTGTCTCTTTGTTAATACTATTTTTGAAAGATTGACCTGAAGATGATGTTAAACGTACTTTAGAATGAGATCCGTTAATAGCTCAGATACAAGATTTGCTGATTCTATACGGTCTGTGACAAATGATGGTAAAAAATCATCAGCAAAAATGTTTGCATTGTACGGGTATACATCAGTTTTTTGAAAACTTTTTGTAATGTTAGTACATGTTATAGCTAATGGCAATGAATCAGATACAATTTTTGGTATATCATAAATTGTTCTGGATTTTCCAAGATTGTTTCTCAGTCATGCATATTGTGCAACTGATAGGTACTTTTTAAAACGTCAAAACACTGATACATCTAATGGTTGCAGCTTATGGTTGCAGTGTGGTGAGAAAGACAACATGACTATTTCATTTTTCTTTGCTAACTTTTAGCGTTTCAAAATGCAAATGAGAAGAGTGATTGTCCAAAATCAACAGAATTTTATATTTATTTGAAGGCTTCACATGCCTAATAAAGTGTTGCATAAACTTTTTGAATTCAATCTCTGTAACCAAGCCACTTCCGTTACCTACCCCATTACGGTCCGGTGGACAATTATTAACAAAATAATCTTTGTAATTTTTTATGGACTTATTATTACCTTTGTGTATTTGTTTAAAACACAAACATTGGAGGCACTGTATTTCTTGAGGCAGATACAGCGGTTACCATTGTTATACTAGTGCCTCTTTTCCCAGATGTCATAGCACCAATATTTCTCTTGTCTTTTGCAGCCACAATTTTACTAGATTTTACAACTATAGATACACCAGTTTCATCAACAGTCCATATTTGTGAAGCCCTGAATTTGTATTTATCCATCACTTTAACTAGCTTATCAAAAAACACTTTTACATTTGCAGCGTTAAATGATGTTGCCCTACCAAGGCTAGTTGCTTCAGGTTAACTTATAGGTAATTGAGGATATCTTTTTAAAAAACTAGTCATCCACTCTTTTCCCGCCATATTATTTACTGTCCAAGAACCTGGTATTTTGATTTTGTATTGAAGAGCACACTCATAGGCAAGAGAACGATCATCTTTAGGAATATAGCCGTAAAATATGGATGTCATTTGCAATCAATAAATTTTAAAAGCGCTTTCTTGTTCTTGGGAAAAAATTATTCTAGGTTTTGAATAACCAATCGATGGGTAACCACTACAGTTTATTTTTAAAATATATCTTGCTAATGCCATCCTTTTGATGTCGAATTCTTCAGCAGCTCCACTAACACTTTTTTTCCCCTCCAGAACAGAACAGAACTTGTTGCATTACTAAGCTGCTGGCTTGTGAAAGCACCATTTGAAGTTTTTCTTTTACATATATATATATATATATATATATATATATATATATATATATATATATATATATATATATATATATATATATATATATATATATATATATATATATATATATATATATATATATATATATATATATATATTATGTGTGTGTTAGTATTTGTGTATACAGACAAAACATTCTCTAACTGTTATATACCAATATTTAAAGTTTTCTATTTAAATGTAGTAACATTAAATAATATACATAAATTGTTTATATATAGTATTAATAATCAAAGTATAAACGAAATATCATATTTTATATATGTTTTAATTATATATACTTTAAATTGGTTATATGTTTTTTAAATATGCACACTATCATAATATTACTATTATAATAAACATAGTAAACAAGATTAATTTAAAAAAAAATTGTTCAACAACTTTTCAACTTTAAGATTTTACTGATCATTTAATATTTTAGTAAAAATATTTTAATGATTAATTTAAAAGTGTGAATTTAAAGTGAAGTTTTAAATGTTTACTAAACGAATTTTTATCTTCGCGTCTGATAAAATTGTATTAATCATTGTCAAATCTGCTCAACCTACCCCTACTGGACAGGGTGTCACATCAGTTAAGTTATAAAAAGAACTATAAAGCTTGGGGAAAAAAGGATAAGTATAATCAATAGCCAAATAAATGGGTAAAATACAAACACATAAGTGATTCCAGATAAATGTTTTTTTAAGCATCTAAGAGAAAAGTAGCAAAAATATTTTTTTTTTTACTTTTTTAGTCCAAAATCGAAAAAGTGTCCGTGCATGTTTTTGAACCGTGGTCTAATAACCATTTGATGCGCATTTTATTACCGTTATAAATACCTATCTTTTATCCATTAGATGTTTTGCCATGTGATGAGTAGTTTTTGAGATAATTTAGTTGCCCAACTTGCCCCAATGCTCAACTAGCCCCGCTCTACCCTACTTGATTTTATTAAATTATGCAATATAAAGATAGGTTTTTAAATTAACAACTATTTTATGCTTATTAGTAACACAAAAAATATCATCAAGTTAAAAAAAACAAAAACAAAAAGGTTTTAGACAAAAATGAAAAGTTTTTTATTTTACAAGTTAAAAACTTATGGCAAAATAGTTATACAAAAATATACACATTTTATAAAAGCTGAGTGTTTAAGCTATAAAATGGTTTATAATAAAATAATTTTTGAAAATATACTTTTTTTTACTTTTTTCCACCACCTGGCCCACACAGTGTTTAAAACAAATATATTTTTTAGATGGCTTGTGGCTGATCCTGAAATAAGGACGTTGTTTAAAGGTCTTCCCGATGATTTACACTCTAAAGACCTAATGAAACACAATTCATTGAAGAAACATGCCTGCATGATTGAGAAAACCTTAGATCAGGTTTTGCTTATTTTAGACAAAAAGAAAGAGTTTGTGAACACGCTTATCGAGCTTGGAAAGTTGCATTATAGATTAGGAGCCAACCATAAATACACAAAGGTAATAATAAGTCCATAAAAAGCTATATATATGTATATATATATATATAAATATATACATATATATATATATATATATATATATATATATATATATATACATATATATATACATATATATATATATATATATATATATATATATATATATATATATATATATATATATATATACATATATATATATATATATATATATATATTATATATATATATATATATATATATATATATATATATATATATATATATATATATATATATATATATATATATATATATATATATATATATATTCATATATAATTTATATTTAAAGATAAATAATAAATAGTTTAATAAATTAAATAACAATATGGTATTTGAACTTTTTAAAAATTTAATACTTAACAAAGTTATTTTACGGTTATCTGTTAAACTTGTATGCCCCCTGCTTAAAAACAATTTTTATTAATAATTAATGTAAAAACTGTATTTTAACAGTTATTTTCTGAAAATAACTCTTTCTTAAAATAAAGTTTTTGAAAATGATTTTAAAATGTTGAATGTCATTGTTTGCCCATTCTGTTTTTTTGTTCAAAGCAATGCATGGGGCCACCACAAAATAAACAAACAAACACAGCAAATAAAAAAACTTCATCATCGTAAAATTTATTAACATATCTTTAATATATGTATATTAACATAAAACTATAAATAATATTATATGTAAATATTTTTATAGAATTTTAACCTATTAACCTTCCTTTTTACGCTTCATTTTTTATCTTTTTCACTTCATGAATTCAATTTTTATTAACTCTTACTCTCGGTCCGTGTTTGCTGTTCATAATGCTCTATTTAGAGTTAAACCGGTTTGTGCGTATCATGTTATGTGATCTTTGTGAGACAAAATCCTAAAGAACAATAACTATCTATACCATCTAGATAATTAAAAAAAATATATATTTTTTTTAGGGTCTAGCGCTAAGTTTGCAGTGTGCTGTTTGTCAAGAGGTTGATATTGATATCTCCGAAGAAAGTGCTTGGGACAGTTTATTTCGATTTATGCTTGGACTTTTAAAATTAGGAATGAGGATTGAAATGAACAAACAACAGCAAATAAAAATTATGGATGCAGATTGAAATAAAAATCAAGAACTAATAAAATTTAGATATTGACTTTTAAATAAAAAATAAATTATTAACTCTTTGTATAATTCTTTGTATTTAAATAAATCTATAATAAGTTTCAATAAATTTTGTCTCCATACTCCGTTCGTTTTTTATCTCAACCAACAAATCAATTAAGTAATCATATCATAATGACTGATGTTATTATAGAGTGTATTCTTTAGATTAAAAAATATTTTTTTTAACTAGTTTATTAAACTTAAGTTAAACTAAACGAGATTAAGTTGGTATCTTGACTTTATTTTTTATTTTTTTGTATTTTACTTTCAATAAATACCTTTGACGAATTACTACCATATTAGATAAAAATCTAAAACGTATTGCAAAAAATTATTTTAATTAAAAAAATTCGGTGACTCAGCAAAATAAGGTGAAAAGTTAAGGCCGTTTTCCACAAGACGAAAAATTTACGCGAAGCGTCGATAAGCATGCGCAGATTTAACATATTTGGCTACTGCGTTTCGCTGCAGCAAAAAAAAAGTCGGATTCATTTCGACTTTTTGAGAATCGTTATAAGCGAAAACCAATCAAGTTTTGAATATTATATCACGTGATGTCAACCGAAATCATGTTGTTTTTAAAGTAACAAAAAACAAAATTCTTAACCTGGCTTTATTATTAATTTTATATGAACTTACTCTGAAAATTTGCAAGCATGAGTAAATTCATCAAATAAGGAGCAAGATTTATATAAAAAAATGACAAGATTTATATATAAAACTAAATCGAGAGTTTACAAATATAAATTTTCACACTTTCAATTACGAAAGTTACACTTCATAAGAGTGTTTATCTTCAAGTGGTCACACGAAGATAAACCTTTTTGTGTAAAACACTAAATAGAGTTAAAACTGCTGTTCGTTCTTGCAGTAACAGTTTTTAATAGAAATGATCATATCAGAGTTTAGTATTTATTTTCTTATACTTTCTTGTAAAAAAAACCTTATATTAAACAATTATATTACAAAATTATATCACATCTTACATATAAAAATCAAAAAAATTAGTTAAATATTTGCCAAGTTCCTGAATATCATTATCTTAGAAATAGTATGAATTATTCATAATATCATGACACTTAAAATGATATGAAAAAACTTCTTAAATTTCTGATTTAAATTTATTGATACTGGTGTTTAAAGTAAACACCATTATCAATAAAATATTTTTTTTATATTTAACTAAACTTTTATACATATATACATACATACATACATACATACATACATACATACATACATACATACATACATACATACATACATACATACATACATACATACATACATACATACATACATACATACATACATACATACATACATACGTACGTACGTACGTACGTACGTACGTACGTACGTACGTACATACATACATACATACATACATACATACATACATACATACATACATACATACATACATACATACATACATACATACATACATACATACATACATACATATATATATATATATATATATATATATATATATATATATATATATATATATATATATATATATATATATATATATATTTATATATATTACGTCACTTTTAATTACTTTTGACATTCATCGGTGTTGTCATAAAGTTTTTGACATTCATCCGTGTTGACATCCATTTCCGTGTTGTCATAAAATTATAACCATTAATTTAATCACTTTTTTAAAAATCCGCAAAAACGCAAATTTAATTGACCAAAATTTCTTTAGAAATACACTAAATGTTTTTAAAAATATACAGTAGTCTCTCGCTTAATTGCGCAAATTAAAACCGGCACTGCGGTGCGCAATTAACTAAGAGTGCGCAAATAAGAAAAAGATAAGAAAAATTCTAGCTTCTTCTGTCATTAGTAAACTTCTTATTTCTATTTGATCTCGATTATTCCAGAGAGATCGAATTGAATTTTCAGTTACATTATATTCTCTTGCAATCGCTCGTTTGCTGTGCACATTACTTTTTTAAAGTTTAGCTATAATATCGACTTGTTGATCTTCTGATCATCTTTTTTCTTTCCCTTTAGCTATAAGAAGTAAGGATAAAAAAGTTGAAATAAAATAACTATGAAAAGACGGCTAAATTTAAAATGAGTTTTTTTATTAAAGTTTTTTCAATGAGACTTGACTGATAAATCGTTAAAACTTATTGTTATCTGTTTAAACCAAGTTTTATCATTTACTTCGATTCGAATTCGAATTATTTATCTATTTACATTCTAATAAAATCATTATCTCAAAATATTTATAATAAAAACTAGTTTTAAACTTAACACAGGAAAATAATAGTTTTCTGATGTAACTTCACTTTCAACAAAAAACTCAGTAAAAAATTGAAACACAAATATTTTGGGCCTAAACGTGCAATTAACTAGGATGCGCAACTAATTGGGTGCGCAATTAAGCGAAAGACTGCTGTAAACAATGTTTTAATTTTTATTTTTTAAATAAAATGTTTTTATTTTAATTTTTTTACTGAAAATTATGCGCGAGTGTTGCTACATCGACTATCTTATAGCCTGACTCGCAACAGAGTGTTGCTACATCGACTGAGGGTTCGGTTTGGGTAGACAGTCTATCAAATATGTTTAAATATAAACTAAATCTGGTTCCAGAACATTTTACAGCACACTTTTTTTTAAACAATATGAATAAATTCAATACTAGATCAACAGGCAACTTTAAGATACCGTTTAAAACAACAAGACTCTCAAAATTCTCAATTACATATCGTGGTCCCTATTTATTTAACAAAGTAGTTTCCAGAAACGAATCACTATTAAACCTAAACAACATACATATATACCACGTATGCAACTGATTTTTATGTGTATTACTCGTCCAGAAAAAGGTACTCGATGACAAGACTGACTTAAGTCTTCTGCGAGCTTCCAATAACTACTAACAAGTAATTCTTCTTATCAATCTTACACAAATTTTGTTTTTATTATATTTATACACAAACATTAGTTTGAAATGTGATAAATAAATTTATAGTCAAATATCTAAACACTTCTCCAAAAAATCAGCTAATTTATTTTTATTTATTGTATTATTTTATTTTAACTAAAATAATATAGAGCTATATTTATCGGATTATTTTTACGTACACGTTACTACATTGTTGTAATTGGTGTTTATTTTAATCGTGTCTGTATGCAACTATATTTTTGTTTACTTCGTATATTTCGAACTTTATGTTTATGACATTTATGTTTGTATATCTTTACCGCCAATCTGTGATTGGTTACTAGTAAATACCTTGTAGTTGTAAAATAAACATGTAATATATATATATATATATATATATATATATATATATATATATATATATATATATATATATATATATATATATATATATATATATATATATATATATATATATATATATATGTGTATATATATATATTAGGGTAGGTCGATTTTAGCTTTTTTTTTGAATTTTGAGTTGCGTAATGTTGCAGTTACTGTGTCTAGGTTAGAAATGAGGTTTTACCAAATCTCAAGTATCCTGGTTTAAGAATGGCTTGCGGATTTGCATTTTAAGTCTTAATTTTGGACTAGTTTTGTTAGATTGTTTATTTCAAACGTTGCAAAATTTTATTTTAAGTCAAGTAATCTCGTTTTAAAATATCTCCTTTTGAGTTTATAAAGTAACCAATAAACAAGCGCAATTGTTTTAAGAAGCCAATCGTTTACACGCATTTAAACTTAGCAAATCTTTTTTGTATTTAAATTTCTTGTTTGTATTTTAAAGTTAGTTTTAAAGTTAAATTTATTTAAAAGTAGGTTTAAAAATAAAACTGCAATTTAAAGAAATCTTTTAATATCAAAAGTAAATACTTATGATTATTATATCTAGAGTAATGTTTTAAACTGTTTATATTACATAAGTTTTGATTTGCAATTTCTGAAGTAGATTAAAATATAAAACTTTTCGATGGAACTAATGGTTTTACTCAATTCCTGAGTTTCCTGAATTCATGGCCCCAAATCTTTTTAAAAGAGTTTTTATTTCTTTATTTTTTATCAAAGCAGGTTTTTATTAGTAAGTTTTGATATTTTAGGTTTTTTTGATGCTTTGGCCCCCACTAAAAACTCACGCTGTTGCCCATTACTCTAAGTGAAATACTTTAATACAGTTTTCATATATAATTAATATACAAAAATGCCGAAAGTAAAGGTTGCAATTACACGGATGAAAAATGAAAAAAAATATTGTGGCGGCCCATGTGAACTATCAACGACACTTTCCAAGCACTTTTAGACAGGTTATTCAGTATTATTACTATCTTATTCATATAAATCCAAATGCAGATATCGTATTAGTGACTCAGCAAATTAGCAATAATATAAAATCAATTCGGGCTACAGTAAACACACGATTACCTCTTATAACTGACAAATCTATTAATAGAAAAGTTAAAGATCTTCTCGTACTTGTTAAGGGTGTTGATCGCAAGCACGGAAAAGCAAGCGCTAAAAGAAATCTTGATGCAAACTTGGACAAACTTTTTGATATTTTTGCGTGTTCCTGTTCATTAGATGTGTTTCCCTGTAGTGACAGAAAAGTTTCATGTAATAAAGAAAATTGCATCAAAGAACATATTGTATGCCTTTGTTCTCAAAGTAATAAAGTACCTCTGGAAGACAGAGCTTATCTTCGTGATCAGAGGAAAAAAATTTGTCCAAAAGGTGCATATCAATTTTCTTCTTGACTTGATAAAGAACGACAAAAAATATCTCATAACCGAGTTAATGAAGATGAGTTCCTCATAGCACAAGTAAACTTACTTGAAGAAACAAGTGGTTTGACCAATACGGAGGTAAATATTTTATAAATACATGAAATATTTGTAACAGATAAAACAGAAAGCGTTTTATTTTATTAACTCTTTTTAGGATGAAGGTGAATGGAAACCAGTAAATAATCCTATTGGAAAATACAACTTAGTTAAACTTCCAAGATTTGCTATGGAATTAGTCAGAAATGAGTGTTCGTCAAACGTAGGTGCAGTCCTTGCAAATGCTTTACTACATGACATAAAACATCTCTTGAAAAATGACGTTGATATTAAAGATATTTTGATTGACAAATGCAAGTTAGATAGGGCCAAGTCAAAAGTAAAAATCGTTAGTGAAGAGGTGGACTCAGAACAAAAAAAACAGTTAATTTGTCTTGGGGTTGACAGTAAGCTCGATCAAATAACTAAAACAAATATAGTAATAAACTTACCTCAAGGAGAAGTACTAAAGAAATGCATTGAACTTGAACATCAACTCACATTTACTTATGAAGATGGAAAATCGAGTGGAAATTATTTGACTTATAGGACGATTCCTGTCACCGGTGCTACAGGTTTAGTTCTTGCTACCGAAACGTTTAGTGTTTTACAAGAACTTAACAGTTTGGAAAGTATACAAGCTGTTCTTCTTGATAATACTGCTACAAATACTGGACCGCTTAACCATGCAAGTCTAGCTATTCGCCTTCTCTGTTTGTATATTAGAGACAATCAACCAACTGTTTCTTTAAAAAAAACTTGTATGTTTTATTGTTCAGGTTTACGCTCCAGCGTAGTTCAATATAAAAAAATCTTCAAAATTTCACGAATCCCCGCGCCTTATTTTTTCTATTATCACTAGAATAAACAATCTCCCCTTTGATGATGTTAAACATATTGTTAAAAAAAACATTAAAAACAATGCATTTTGCCTAAAACCTGAAAATATTCTTTATGCCATGTTAAAAGATAATGACAGCAAGATACGAAACTTTGGTTTTCAAATCCTACTAGGTAAAGCAAAGGTATTTTTTTATAGTAAACTAAAATAAAGTTTTGAAAAAAAATGATACATTAAATGTGGTAATTGGATTTGATTTATATTTATAGAGTAAACAACGAAAGTTTGGAGAAAAAAATTCCAGAAATTAATTTTAATGCTAATCATTGGTATAAGTTGGTAGATATCAACATTACTAAATTTACGGAGCTCCCAACAACACAACATTTTTCAGTTGAGGAAATCCAATATGCGATTGACAATAATGTTAAACCTGAAATCCCCGACTTTCCATCTCATTCCCAGAGTGTTGAGTGA